CATACTAGTTCACATGTACGTGGCTTGGCATGTACAAGTTCATGGAATTTATTTCATGTTGCACATCATGTTGACAAATCTGAATCACTCAAAGTGATTAACAAACAACTGTGCCATAACTTCTGTCCCTTTGCTGAAGTAACTGTAATTAATAAATTCAAACCTGTTCAGAATGATACTGCTGTCAATCTTGTTTTTGCTTCGGTAATTTCAATCTGATAAACGTATGATTACTAAATTCCATGATCATATGATCCTCTGCTCCTTCATTTTTTCTTTCAGTCTAATTCTAAACCTTATCTCACTTTCTGAATTGCATTCATCTTATTACTTGATATCTGAGTTTTTATTACGCCTATTTAATCATGTTGATCTTTTTTAACCAATCGAAAATAACTGTTTGTATAAGTCTCCATTGTTTCTGATATCCTAATTAGAGTGCACATTTTATCATTGTGGGTACAGTTAACATCTGAGTAGTCCTAACAGTATCCAATTTCGAAGTAGTATTCATCATGAACCATTGACGACCCGGGAGCACTGGACAGTTGTTAAGTCCTAGTATAGGACTCCTCAGCAGTACGCACCCACGACCTGGTTAGGGATCGAACTCCGGACCTTAAAGTCTCACGGCGAACGCGTTAACCATTCAGCCACAGGGTCGGCTTTCAGTGATTCACAATTTCCAACTTCTATCAATTCCTGACATAGCGCGACTATCACCCAAGGTCTTGAGTAAGTACCGAATTCATTTCCGACTGGTTGACCCCACAGATCACGGCTTCTCATCAGAGCTTCGTGATATCCATCTGGAAGCAAGTCACTAATGAGCACTATACAGTAATGTATTTTAAGTCCCATACTAGGACGAAACAGCCGTCCACTGCTCCCGGATTTTCAACAGTTCCCCAACTAATGTCAGTCAATGATGATATATATATATATATATATATATATATATATATATATATATATATATATATAATATTCAACCAGATTACCATCCCTAACATACACAGTTATCCAAAAAGTTTTACTCCGCATAACTATTGAAGCATAACGCCATATGCATCTTGTATTCCCTACCTGTTGTTGGTGCCTACCTAATTTAAAACATTTTTCCTCAACTCATTCTGATATTTTCTTCTGGTAAACTTTAGCAATATAAAACCTTCTGAGTATTTCAAGAGTTTCATGTATAACCTGAATAGACTATCGAATCACTTCACACAATTAATTATTTACAGATACTTACCCTCAATCTTTTCAACATTTTATTTGTGTACAAGGAATCAGCAAATGTGATAACACCTTTCAAGTCAATACGATTGCACTTCAAATTTAATTCTTCCAAATGACAATTACGCGTTAAGCCTCTGCCAAGATTTTCGAGACTTTTACCAGTAAATCCATTCCAAGATAGATCCAGATATCGAAGTGAAGTATTAAACTTTAGATAAAAAAAATATTTAAAAATCATTCACAACTTTTAACTAAACAGATTTCAGCTTGGTATTCATCATAGACTGATATCAGTTGGAGAAACATTGGAAAGCTGGGTGGCACTGGACAGCTGCTTCGTCCTAGTATGGGACTCCTGGGTAGTCCTCACAAATAACCCCACCACATTTCATTAGTGAATTTGTATTTGTAGTCATCTAGTAAAGTGGCTACCAAATATCTGAGAAACAATCAGTCTTGTAAACATATGTCAATACACTGACCTGTTAGGACGAACAGAGCAACTAAAAATCCATGGTGTAGTATTCTTCAAGGGAGACATTATCCAACTCGTTTTTCACAGCTTCATAGTCGTTTTCAATAAGGAGACTTTCAAAAGTAGCACACATTACAATCAAGTTGTCTACAGATCTCTGAAGTTGAGTAATAATCAGTGCCTTCTCAGAACTGTAATATGAAAAGTTCCTAATACGGGTATTTTTGTGCGAGTGAGTGCATGTTCAGATACGTTAGTTGGAGACAACTGACAGAGCCCTGCATGACATTAACTTCTCCATTTTTGACATTCGTCAGCAAGGCGTATACTCAACCTTGGTGGCACTCATGTCTCATTTGAGATTCGGAACCATGTCATCCTGTGCTACAGTCAGCTATGTTACCAATGAGCTATTCGGACCATGACTGACCTCTTGTAGGACTAGACTGCATACACTGAACTGACCTGTCACTGGAAAGCAGCCAGTCTCATGTTGTCTAGTCCTGAGTGTTGACCATGTGTAGGGACTTCCGGCCGATTTTACCCAAATAACTGACAGCCATCAAAGTGCACCGCTATGATGAGCCACCTAACTTGGAGGCTGCATTGTAAAATGATTGATAGAATTAAGACTAGACAACAGGAGAATGGATGCTCTGCAGTGATCAATCAATATACATGTTCAGTCTTTACACAACATAAAATCTATCACAGTTGATAAGAGGTTGAGTGATTTTTGTGAAGTTTCTGAACAAACATTTAAGATAAACAAGAATAGAGTTGGTCTCACAGATTTGAAATGACTTTTTGTAGTTAACAGGTGGAAAAATGAATAAATTAAAAGTCCAGACTGCAAATAAAATAACATCATCAAAGTAGTCAGTATTATTATTGTATAAATTTGCTTGTTCATGAAATCCCATTGAACAAAGTTTTACAATCGTAGCCTTGCTTTCTTTCATAGGAATGGGAATAGGCAACAAAATCAAGTTATTAAAAGTTAAGAAATACTCATTGCAGTTCAACTTACTTCCAACATATTACCAAATTCATAGGCTCCTTTTGAAGATAACTTGTTCCAATGCAAACTGACCCATTCCAGACTTAATCTATTGCCTGCATGTTATATGAAATGAAAACTCTTTATTATGAAGTAGAAGCTCACTCATTGCTTTGGCTAATTCATAACCTCCATCTGACATAATGTTATTCCTTGATAGATCTAATTTTGTTAGGCGTGTATTCATCTGCAAAACACAAAACGTCATTATGCAAACTGTGATATTTTATGAGTTGTACTGAAATCAAAGTATGCTTTTACGAACCCGAAATGATCTAGACATTAGAATCATACAAAAGCCTGAAGCAAGAAACTCTGTATCCTAAACAAAGATTTATATTTAGCTTTATGATTTCTGAACCATGACTGGTTACTGTTAAAGTCAATTCTCAGAATAGAAGTTAATTATTTTGAAGAACTGACAACGATAATCGAAATAGAACTGGAATAAACAAAATTCTGGTGCCATTCTATCTCATTGTGAATACATTCCACAAACATTCAAAGGACTTTCAAGACGAGACTGATTGCAACGCAATCTGTACCAAACAACATCCTCAAGATAATGAACCAAGCAAGTAGCTTATACATTCTAACGTTTGTTCAAGTTGTTTCCCTCGAATTCCCCAAAAAACTGCATGTATGTTCTAGAGAAAGATGTTATCAGTCGTTTCTCGGTGAAGCTACTTCCAATGGATTACACTTTTTACATTGAGTGATGACTGAAAGTGGAATGGAGATTTGGAGCAGTGCCGGACTCGAAGCAGCGACCACTGTGTTTCTGGCCCAATGCTCTACCAAATGAACTGTGAGGTCCGACTGCTGATCACATGTTTATTTGGATTAGGGTGACGAACACACCATGCTCACACCTGTGTAAATCAAATGATCCGATTCGGTATTTGGAACAACAGAACTGTGTTTATAATGTAGACTGTAGCTAATTCGATCCCATGTACTTAAGAGAGACATCACGTCGAGTACCAACACATGTAGCCTAACACGGTTGAAGTTACAAGAAACCACCAAAATATTCCCATGACCTAGAGAACCTTGAAAAAATCTGTGGCATCGTGGTTCATGCCTTATATTCAGGTCATAAAATATTATTTGAAAAGACAGAAGTCATGCAAAAGGGTTTTCCTTCTCACAAACAGTGGACTATTACCGAAGCTTTGCACATGTGTTCGTACCCTTCTACGGTCAACATAAGAGATGAGTTAGACATCCCACAAATATGGCAAACATTAATGACTCGTATAGGCACTTGTAAATAATATATGAAGAGAAGGTAGAACATAATTATTTCATTCCACATGATTCATTCCCAATTCACTCTTGCTTGAATAGTTTCCGATGTTATTTCGCTTAATCGTCTTAATCACTGTCAAGAAATGTTGATTGCATTTTAACAGCTTGTCTATTCCTATTACATAACACTTCATTGATCTACTGTTTCCCTCAGTTTTACGCTACTTTTTGAGTTATATACATTCTATGGACCATTCCATATATTCCATAATCCATTTTATTATCGTTCATACTTCAAGTGTTATCAAAAGTACCTTTTATCTACATAACCCTTCGTTCAGTTTCCTACTTTTTCATACATTCATCCTGTATTACGTAATTACATTTAATTTCATAAGCCCCTGTCTATTTTCTCACTCTAAACACAAATGTGTATTAACTAATTTCCTTTATCATTCAAAATATTTTGCCTCCTGACCGGAAACGATTCTGGAATATTCTACCCTCTGTAACATATATTCTTGAATGTACAGTTTAGTAAGTGACTTCGTCGAAAAGAAAAATTTTTCTTTGCTGAAACCACGTCGTCTTTTCCAAGGATCAAATGGGTGTATTCCACTTTTTATTCGATTACTGCTGATCATTTTGATTCATGACACGAATAGAGAAAAGAACCGTTCATGGATTCGTTTACCTGAACATTCAGTGCTACGAGTAATTTTTAAACCCTTCATGTCTTAAATTATTTTCAGATGATGTACTGCTAAGCTTCTCAGTAGTAGATGTTTGGGTTTTCATTTAAGTACTGTGTAAAGGAGTTACTTTTTTGATTACTTTAACGCATGATAAAAATTTCTTTTATAGAGAGGTAATGAGGTTCGTTTTGTGAGGGGCTTATACAAGAGTGCAGAGACTGCAATTCTCCTATTCATTGGAAATTATTTACAATCTCTTTATTATTTTATTGCACAGACAATAATTTCATCGATAGTATTAACAAATATGAAGAAGAGCGAACAAGTGAATGGGTGAAACAGCTTCAAAGATCCAGTAGAATTGTTAATTGCAAGACTGTACCTTTTAAAGCCTTGGACAACTACTCAGTGAACGCCATAGTAGCAAGAGAAATGCAATCAATAGTGACTGAATCCAACAGAAATTCAAGTATCTATATGAAAACAGACAATACTTCTGTAAACACTGTCATAGATGAATCAGAAAAAGCTGTATCTCATAAAGTGATTCACATGAACCATTCTGATTTAACACCTCAGTTGACTATTGAAGATATTTCTGAGGACAGTAGTGACAACCAACTGGATGGTTATATCAAACAAGCTGAAACAAGTCGGCTGAAACTATCACTCCCTGTCATAATGGATGACAAAGAAACTATGATGGAAGTTTACAGGGAACTTTGTCGAAAATTAGATTGTCACCCTCTTAAATCTGTTATTCGTCGTATTGGTAAAGTGTGTACTACGCGAATTCTGGATTTCTCTGAATTGCACCTGAGCAAGTTTCACTTTCAACCAGTGTCTTACCTTATCAAGGTTTGTTCTGTTTACTTTCATTATGATGTAACAAATCTCTTACTTGAGTATTATATCGTCCTATGTACTCATTAGATAGTTTAACTTATAAAATTATTGTTCTTGGTACAGTGTATCTCAGTATTTCAGTTACATTAATGAAATTGCTTCTTGAATGAACTGAGTTATCCACATCTCAGCTTGTTTCTCGATGAGTTGCAGGGACCGCTACCAGGATCTATTACCCAAACCAGTAAAGTACCATCTGCTTTACGAACACAGCCATTGGCATCCTTCTACAACAGAGGAAGCTGATCAGTTAACGTAAACTCGTGTTTCAATAACTCAGAGATTTTATTGTGATAGCTGGGAAGATGTGTAACTCAGGAGATAATGATAACTTTAGGCTGTTTCCAGTCTTAGTTTTGTTCTTTGACTTTTCATAAGTAGGCTAAGTGATGTTAGCAGCACTTACTACATAAAGAAGTTGGGTGTTTTTAACTTTCAAATGGATCAATAGTCAGATATTAGATCGACAGCATGAGTCAGATGGTCTTAGTAGCTACAAAGGTCAACCTGTGATAAAAAATTTCTGTTGCCGACAAGCCAATAACGCTTGAAGTCGGCGAATAACCAACATAAACATTCGTTCAAGTCGAAAATGTTTCACTCGTTAATGAAGTCATCTTACCCGATGATGAAATGTCTTAGCAAAAACCTAAAAGCTAGGAGAACATCAAGAACTTATCAAAGTTTATTGCACTCAATGGAGCGGTGTGCTCACAGTTTAATTTAGTAAAGAAGAAAATGAGATAATACGGTGGTTATGAGGAATATTTGTACATTTTCGTTACTCCCTGAATATTCTAAAAGCATATTGGTTTACTGACTCCGGCATGTTATCGCCAAACAAATAATAAGGAGGAATGCGTCGAAGAAAAATTTTTGTTTTCGACGAAATCATTCTCTTAGCTGTCCGTTCTTGAATATACAGTAGAAAGGGCGGAACATTCTAGAGTAATTTCTGGTCAAAGGTCAATAAGAATTGCATTACGAAAGAGAGTTACGTAACAGGGAAAGAGACAAAATGGTTACGAAATAAAAATGTGTCACATATGGGTTATTTAGAGTGATCGATAACCTACAATGAACATGGCAAAGAAACAAGTTGTACATACTTCTTTCAAACGCATAACGATGGTTTGAATTTTCGAATCGTCAGTGCTTCAGCTATGCTCAAGTTTTTGTAGCCCCACTCCTTTTGAGTGACTTGGGCGCATTCTGTACAGAACTTAGAAGGACCGATCAAAATGAGCTAGATTTTCTGAGTTTACTAAGTGTTCTGTTACAGAGCTGAGGATGTTATTCCGGTCTCGCCTTCTCAGCCAAGTTGGATAGTCTTCGTGAGGGGATTGCACAAGCTGGCGTATGGTGTGGCCGACTTGCTCGGCTCCACAAAAGCAAGTGCCTGATATGCACACATTGATGTGGCACTATGCTCCAGCTTATCCTCTGCTTACTGGTGAGTTAGTTTCTGATAGGAGAATGTGATTCTAAAATTGGCGACAAGGAGCATTCTCTATAAGTATATCTGCCACATTATCTCCCTTAAATTGGAGGTTCAACAGTAAAATCGTTATCAGAGTAGTATGTATGCGCTATGTGGCGTGAGTTTCAGTGAGTTTCAAGTTTTAATCAGAATTTCTAGTAAGTTTTCTAGTTCATCATGGATGGTACACTCCATGCATATTTTTCGTATTCCTAAGGAGAGTGAATCGATAAGATTCCTTTTTCTACTTAATGACAGACAATTTCAAAAATTATTAAACTGCCTACTTGAGATGAGGTTTCTGTAAATAGGTCTCTGGACTGATTTGTCAACTTTTCTTTCAAGTTGATCATCAAGAAAGTGAAATTTTGAGCTTGACTTTTATTCTAGAGAGAATTGATAGATAAGAATCTAAAGTCTAATAACGCTTCAGAAAGTGTACATACTGCCCTGAAAAAGATTTTACTGTTGAACCTCGAATTCAAGGGAGATAACGCGGGAGATATGCTACATGTGACATGTTTTTACTTCATAATCATTTTTTTCATTTCTCTGTTATGTAACTTTCCTCTATGATGCAGTTTTTATGGACATTTGATCAGAGATTACTCTAGAATGTCTCACCCTTTTTACTAAGATGAAAACTTTTCTTCGCTGCAGTCCTCTGTGTTCTCTTATGTTCAAATGGGACTGTTTCGATATTTGAAGAAATTTATCATTGAAGTTGTTTCCCTGCTCATAGGTCTACAGATTATATTTCGAAAGAACTCAGTTTACAGACTTCATTCTCTTTCCTGTGAGCCGCAAAAAAAAATCAATTTAATGACCACTTTTCACGGCTAATAGCCATATTAAGCAGTTGAAACATTGAAATCATAATTATCAGTTTTTAAAAGGTGTAGAAAATATTCTGTCATGTTCATAGAATCTCAAGCTTCACCTCATACTGTACTAGTTTTGTAGCACCAATCACAACGACAAAATGCCTTACACTTGAAGCTTCATTTTAAACCTGGAAATGCATTCCGACAAAATATCGTTTTCATTCCTTTCGGACGTTGTTAGGAATTCTCGAATACAAAATAAAACAACAGGTTCTATTTAATATCACCACGACAAAAGTGTCTTTCTGCTTTTTGTACCTATTAGGGTTTATTAAAATGTTACTCTCGAGGACAATGTCCTAGAGGTCAGAAGTTCTAAGTAAACTTATCTGTGAAAATGAAGTTATATTTGTTTATCCTTCGCGTACTTCCTATTTTTTTCAATAGGCTAAGTAATATATGTTAGAAGTGATCGATTTATTTCGTGAAGGGAGGAATTGGAAATTTTTTGGTATATTGTTAACTTCACAATACATTGTTAATGATTAAGTTGATCTACGATAAATCAATAGTATTGAATTTGAAGGGTTTGTAAGGATCTAGTGACTTTTCAAGTTCATATTCATCATGGACTGACATCGTTTGGAGAAAACAATGGAAACTTGGGAGCACTAGACAGCTGTAATGGTAACTTGCTGGCCACGGAAACTGAAAGTCCTGGGTTCAACCACTGGTAGGACGGGGTCATGGGTGCTCACTGCTGAGGAGTCCCATACTAGGATGAGTTAGTTGTCCAGTGCTCCCAGGATTCCAATGTTCCTCCAACTGATGTTCATCTACGATGAATACCAACTTCTACAATCAAGGGTAAATGAATGAAAAGTCCTGGCGTTATTCTACTTTCCATACGAACTTTTGTAGTTAATAACCATATATACGGAGCGAATAAGAGATTTAGTCATAATATAGAGTAGTGAGGAAGTACTTAGTACGGAAGCGACCTCTGTAACCAGTTTAGAAGATGATTCATTCTGCGTTTATTTTGTGATTTTTCAAGTCATAATAACCGACATAAAGTGCTACTCTAAAGGACACTGTGACAACCATAGAAGTAATGAATTAAATTTTACTGTTTTAGCTCAAAAGGTGGCTTTTTTTCCATTAAGAAACTAAACCTAATTGGCAATTTCAGTAGTTGCTATAGTGGCCTTTACAGTCACTCGATTTTGATGTGGAAATATTTAATATTGATTTAGTTTGTCAGGTTCGACTATGCCACTCAAGTGTATATTATGAGTGAATGAAAAACGAAATACAAACGGGTTTATATATTTATCGTTACGTAGCTTCATAGCCATCAAAATATGAATAGGATATGTTAGGGACAAAGCAATAAGATCAAGTGCGGGACAGGATGTACAGTTAGTCAACAGAAAGGGAAATCAGCAATTAACATATTCATTAGAAACGTTATTTCCACTGTCTTCTGTCTCTTCTACACATAGATGAACTACAATCGCTTCTAATAGATACCTTCTGTTAAGTTTCATAATCTAACTTCAGGTGTATTTTGGTAGTTAGGCACTTGTTCAAAGTCTTTTCAAAACACATAAGTGACGCCATAATTAAAGCCAACAATTACTATTAAAATGAACAACCATCTTGCAGTCTTACTGTCTTATTAAGATCTTGTGTGTCGCCTGAATGTGTCTTATTGGAGCAAATATCCTAAGAGTGATCATTAATTTGTACAAAACGATCTAGTAAATACTAATAAGAACAAAGACAAGCCCAACTTCCAGAAAATACTATCATGGACGATTCATAGTGGACATTAAATGATTATTCTCCTTCATTAATTCACAAATTTGTTCAGTCTTGAATTACAGCTTGAAGTTTTATAGATAATACCATGAGAATTAAAACACACTTGGCAGTCAATTGATCATTTCTCTTTTAAGCATGTGATTCAGATGTCACATTTGTCTGATCTCTCTTAGTTTTCTTCCTTTTGAATCCTTCTTCATTTAATATCGTTCGTTAAGGAAGAAAGTGTCGTGAAATATGAAGTTTATGTCCCATCCACTCTCGTTGCTGTAAACCCATAGCCTCACGAACCAACGAACCTTCTTTGCTTTCTATTCTACACTTAACCACAGTATCGCTCGGTTGATGGTCCCATCACGTAAAGGAGATTCTACAGAGACACCTATGACCAGAATCTTGTAGCCTCCTCATGTCTTTAAATTGTAACTGCCATGTCTTTCACAACAGTCTACTCATCCTTTGGTATATAAGTGGATATTTTCCAAGACCGTAAGTTAGCAAAATGACAAGAAGATTCGTTGTATTTGGGCTGGGATTCGGTCAGAAAGTAACTAATTAGTGTTGATATAACTTCCAAATTGAATGAAGTGACCAACAAACTCCACCATTTTGTTCTCCTTCTTTAAACTTGGCATCAATTCACATCATTTATAAAGTGTCATCCTAAAATTAACAAGTGAGAAATGCATATCAAACATACTAAGTTTTCAATCAAGGCGTTCAGAAGACCCTGCGTTCGTCTAGCAGGGCTATGCCGTCTGCATGACCTAATCCATTCAAATGTCATCCAGGAAGTCATTCCTTGAGAAGTCGTACGTATC